GAGTGTTGTTAACAGCATTTTTGGTGTTAAAAATGCAGAACTGTCAGTCTTCCTCGGTGAAACAGGTATGTGGAGAGTGAGTGGACATCTTGAGGTGGCTTGGTCAAGGTCTTCATTTGGTGTCAGCTATGCAGCTGTTTTCCCGCTCTGAGGCAGCAGGAGTTTCTTCAGCAATGTCTACTGCCATGTCTCTACTGAGCCCCTCTCTGTGGAGTAGCTGAAAACCCTGGACGTTCAGGAAGCCAAGGCCCTCATCCTCCACCCCCACCCCCACCCCCCAGTGTCCCTCTTAGCCATGAAGCAGATCAGGTCTCACCCTCCCTGCTGAGTTGTGAGTTTATCAGACAGTTCCTGGGCCTTAGTGAATCTGGAATCCACTTTTGAAGGATTACAACTGAGTTCAGGGAGATGGCTCATCGAGTGAAGCTCTTCTGTGCTGAACTGGGTTCCAATCCCCAGCATCTGTCTAAACAGCTGCTTTAGCAGCGTGCCTGAGATCCCACACTGAGGCAGTAGGACCCTCAGCTTAGTCCAGCCAGTGAGCTTCTGTCTCGGGGAGTAAAGTGGAGGCCAGCGAGGTGGCTCAGTGGGTAAAGGCGCTTGGGTTTTTACCAGTAAATGAAGTGGACGGCAATTGAGGGAGACACCTAGTGTCAGCCTCTGAGCTCCACACATGCACACGCGGCAACTTCTCCACATGAGCACGTACACCGCACATGCACACAAACTTTTAAAATGAATTAGAACCCCTGTTTGCTGCCTATTTACCATTTTCAATATAGTTTCTCATGGCAAATTTTAAGATTCTCATAGAATGAAAATTTTAAGAGTAGTCGTAATATATGAGGAAAACGCTGGAAGAGGAGAAAACAGTTTGTGTTGAATTTTAAGTTATGGGGGTTGTGGGTTTAGTGCAGTGGTACAGCTTTTACCCAGTAATGAGTTTGGTCCCCAGCAATACCCCACCCCCACCCCAACACACCCATGACAAATGACAAGTACTTTACTATTGAGTTTCACAGCACTCAGATTGCCCATTTGTGTGGTTGTATTTGCAGGGCTAGAGGTATTGGGCTCAGTGGTAGAGTGGGTTCCAAGCATGCAGAAGGCCCCGGGTTCAGTCCCAACCAGCAAAAAAAAAACCCAGTTTCCCACTCAAGCCTGGCTTTGTAGGAAAAGCAGTGTCCTTTGATGAACAAATGAAATGGGAAGCATCACCGTATGAGGCGGGGTGATAGTGAAGTTGGAAGTGAACACAGTGAACCAGGAAAAGGTAAGTGACTTCAGAATTGTTATTTTTAGAAATACAGAACCAAACTGACTTGCTGAGCCTGAGTGGGAAGACACTGTGTGTGACTGCAGGAGCAGCCCCCCTCTGCTGTCAACAACCCCAGCGCTCGTCAGTGTCAGTATGTCAACCTGCAGCTCCTAAATGCAGAGCCACAAGGTATGTGCGCCCTCAGCACCCGGCTTGTTGAGTGCCGGACACTAACGCTCCTTTTCACGTCCGAAGCTCTGACGTAGGTGTAATTTTCCAGTCAACTTCAGCACCCACCTGTAATCTTAGCACTAGGAGACTGAGGCAGAAAGATTACAAGTTCAAGGCCAGCCTGGGCTACATAGTGAGACCCTACCCCCCCAACCCCCAGCATCCCCATGGTTCTTCAGGGAATACACTTGTTTTTGTTGTTTTGGTCTGTGCAGTATGTTTATGCAGAAAGACCATCATCCTTCTGAGAGTCAGGAAGCAAAAAGACCATCGTAGGTAAAATTACATCTACGTGGAACTCGGTTATTACCGTGCCTGAACTATTGATTTGCAGTGTGAACTTTTTTTTTTTTTCTTGGAATCTGTCCTGAGAACTTGGACACCTCCAGCCTCAATCCACGGCTTCAAGGACCATCATTGTGCACATTTCTGCTGGGATCTTTGTCCCTTCACTTGACTGCACTAAAAGTCAGTTCCCCAGTGGCTAGCGTTCATGTCAGTTTCTCTCATTCCTCCTCTTCCTCACCTCTGACTGTTTAAGGTTACTTCTGCAGCCTGTGCCTCCAGCTCAAGCTCCTGTACCCACCTCAAAGCCCTCTGCGTTGCCGGTTGGCGTTGCCTACGGTTGCCGCCACTGTTGGAACACGAGTTCTCTGGAATTGACCTGCTTTCTTCCTTCTTCTCCAGAGTGTCTAACGGGAACTGTGGGCACTCTCCTGCTTGAAAACCCACTTGGACAGAATGGACTCAGCCACCAAGGGCTTGTGTACGAGGCAGCCAAGGTGTTTGGACTTCGGAGCAGGAGGCTAAGACTGTTCCTGAATGAGACTCAGACACAGGGTGAGTAGATATGACCAGAAGCTTTTCCTTCTTTGAAAGGAGACTTCGGTCACTGCTCATGTTTTGTCTGTGAAAATAAGTTTTGTATATTTCCCTTGTTTTGTTTACTTTTGCAAATTAATCAGAAATTAGGCATAATATAGTTAATAAAAACTTAATTGTGAGATGTGCCTGAGTGGTAGAACACTTCCTTAGCATGTGCAAGACTTCAATTAAGGGAGGGGTAATAAAGACAGTTCATCTCTTTGACAATAACTTAAAGATGCATATTTCTAGATAAATTTCTGTATTTCCTGACCTTAAATGTACAAGCGGTTTCTTCAGGAATGGAGCCTGATGGGGTTTACCCTTGCAAGATGTTCTTTCAGACTTGGGTTTTTACAGGACTTCCCTCTGTCTGTGATGTTCTGAAGTCCGACTGTGACATGCCTCAGTTTATAGATCTTTAAAAATGTGTTCATTATCATGTATGATAGGGGCACACATGCCACCACCACCAGCTCTGATACCAACACAGCCTTGAGCACTTCTCAAACCACCCTCAGAGTCAGTAATTTGCTAGAAAGATTCACAGACTGATTGAAAGGTATTATACTCACATATTTGCATATTATACTAATTAGAGTTAACCAGAGAAAGAGTGAAGGGCAGGAGGTGGGTGGGGCTCTGACTAATTAGGGACATCGAGTCATCCTTTCCTCGTGGAGGAATACCGATGTTACCTCCTCCAATTCCCTAGTAGTTTGACCAGGCAGTGTCACCACCCAAGGAAGCTTGGTGGAACTTGGTGTCTAGAGTTTTGTTGAGGTTTAATATGTAGACCCAATTAATTCATTGCCTGCCTGATTGGTCTTTGTCTCACAAGTTACCTATCATTACACACACTTGATAGCTGAGTCTTCCAGTGTGGCCACCTGCCCTGAGTCATCTTGCTGACAAACTAATATGTAATCAGAGCCCACTGTAAGCAACAAAAATACCCCTGTCACGAAATGCTATCAGTTTAGAGACCCCCTGGGAGCCGGGACAGAGGTGAGAGTGGTTTTAGTTTGGGGCCAGTGATAGACAGTTAACAGTTTTTTAAATGTTCATGAACAACAGCAGAATATTGACTTTTTTAAAAAATTGTCTTCTAGAAATTACAGAAGATATCCCAATGAAGACTTTGAATATGAAGACTGTGTATGTTTCTGTCCTGCCAACAACTGCAGATGGCTAATAGTTATCTGTGGCCTCAGCCAGCCCTGCTCTGACTTCTACCCGTCTCCTTACACTCACACACACTCACACTCACACACACACACACACACACTCACACACACACACACTCACACACACACGGGCTCAGTGAAGGTATTGCCTCTGGGCACATGTGTAATATGCTGCTTTGAACCCACAGTTCAGATGGGATTGATTGACCTGAGACCTCACATGTTCACATTTAACCTTAAACACCTATGCAGTCGTGTTGGGGAAGTATCCTAACGTTACCTCAGCACCACAAAGCTTATTTCTACACTTGAGTTCTTTAGTACAGAAACTAGGAGTGATTTAAATGGCATAGTACATATATATGTATGCTTATCATTTTATGGCCTTGTAAAACTGATTTGAGACCTTGTGAAGAAATGGACATGTTATATATTTCTGCTACCTGGATTTTCCTGGGTAATTTGATGAGATATTTTATGTTTGATTAAATCAAGACAGTAATAAACACTCTTCTCAGATACTGTATTGGAAGTAATTTATTCTCCCATAGTTTAATGAAACTTGAAATGTGTAATCCGCAACCCACTCTCACCCTACCCTGACAGAATTTCTCTGTATAGACCCTACTGCCTCTGCCTCCTGAGTGCTGGGATTAATGGTGGGCACCACTACTACCACCTGGCTAAGGACACATTCCTTTTTAAATTGGAAAGACTGGCTTTGTACTGTCCACTACACCAAAGAACAAAACACGGACACCAGTGTCTCACTCTAGGTCAGCAGGATGAGACTGATATTCTAAGTTTGATCTCTGGGACCTACATGGTGGAGAGAACTAACTCCTACAGGTTGCCTGTGACCATCACATACACATTATGACACACATAAAATGTGTATGTGCAGTAGAGCATGGGACTCTTAATCCCAGGGTTGTGGGTTGGAGCTCCATGTTGGACACCATATGTAACATGTACTCTTCCCACCAGCCAGGTCCCAGTGCCAAGTCACTCCCAAATGAACACACAGGACACTACATTAATTATGAAGCTGTTGCCCATTTGCTTGGTTTCTTATTAGTTAGCTATAACTTAATTATTAACCCATAATATCTGAGTATTTCCATGCGGTGTTCTCTTACCGGAGAAAGGATCCAGACCTCTTACTCCTGGTGTCCTACATCATGACTGACTGTTCCTCTGTTTCCCAGAATCCTCCTTGACTCCTAGTCCCACCTATCTTGCTTCCCTATTGGCCAACAGTGCTTTATTCGTTAACCAAAGAGAGACATACACACAGAAGGACTTCCCCATCGTGTGTGTGTGTGTGTGTTCAAGGCTTGCTCTGGGAAATCTACAAATTGTTCCAAGTGTCATCAGTACCTTATAGGAAGCCCTAGGCCCTGATTTTCGTATAGAGAAGCTAATTTAAAAATAGTATGTGGGACCCTGATAGCACATACCTTTAATCCTCCTCTCAGATCTCTGGAAGTTCAAGGCCAGTTAAGAGGTTGTAGTGTCCCTGGTGAGCACAAAACCAAAGCAACTTGAAGCAGACAAAACAGTTGTTGGGTTTGCCCCGTGGCTCCTCCCACACCAAAGTACAGCACAGCTTCCCTCTCGGGAGGGAGAGGAAGGTGGACTGTGTTCAGTGTTCTGGCTCTTAGAGGGGCTGCTTGAGGGATTGGTTTCTGTCTACGTGGCTGAGGACCCTGGTAGGAACAGGGTTCCTGTGATTGTCTGGAGGCTGCTGAGTAGCTGCTACCCTGTCACAGCACCAGGGAGGCTCTCACTACAGATAGACTAGAGTGGCAAAATGGGCCAAGGAAATGTGGGAACGTACAAGGAAGCTTGAACCGAAACAGGCTCCTTAGTAAAGCTGTTTCTATACAGACCCGGTGTAGAGACTGGGAAGGTGGCTGCTTCCTCAAAAGTCCAAGAAACAAAATAACAAAAAACCACAAGGCACACAGTGAGGCAGAAAAATATAAACTGAGGTGGTAGTGGCTGTGTAGCAGGTTGGAAGATGATTCGGTTGGTGAGGCACTTGCCTAGCAAGCACAAGGACACAAGTTTGCTGTCCAAACCAACACTAAAAGCTAGCTGTGGCCAGCCATAGTCACACATCTTTAATCCCAGCACTAAAGACCCAGAAGTAGGAGGATGGCTATGAGTTTGAGGCCAGCCATGACTACACAGTGAGACCCTACCTCAAAAAAACAAAACAAAAAAGTTGTAGTGATGTATGTTTTTATTCCTTGAACAGGGTTGTGTACGGTCTTTGACCTTTGAGCCTAACCTACTTGGTGAGCTCCAGGCTGATGAGAACCATGACTTTTGAGGGAAGAAAAAAATGTCTTTTTGTTATTTTTAAGTGCATGAGTGTGGGTATGTACACAGAGCCCATAGAGGCAGAATCATCTCTCCAGTCCCAGAAACCTTTCTTAAAAAACAATTAACAGGGACTGGAAAGTTGGCTTAATGGTGAAGAGCACTGATTGCTCTTCCAGAAGAATCAGGTTCAATTCCCAGCATCTAAGAATCAGGTTCAATTCCCAGCATCTACATGACAGTTCACAGTTATCTGTAATTCCATTTTCAAGGGATCAAATGCCTTCTGGCCTCCTCAGATTACATAATCCCAACACTAGAGAGGCTGAGAAGGATAGCCCAGGCTGGGCTAAATAGTGAGACCCATCTCAACATAAGTAAATAAATAACCAAGCGCCCCCTGCCCCCCAGGAAATGCAGGTTAAACTGAGCAGGCAAATGAAACTTGAAAGTGGTGTATACGTGAATGGTAGCAAAACATACCAACAAAGAAAAAACTAAAAGAACAAAACAGAAATAACGAAGATGACAACTGAAATGAAGTAGGCCTGGTGGTGGAGCCTATCCTGGACTAGAGTGGATTCAAGGCCAGCCTGGGCAACTGAGTAAGAGCCAGTCTCAAAAAGGAGCTGCCCTTCCAGAGGACCTGAATTCAGTTTACAGTACCTACGTTGTAACTTCAGGCCCAGGAGATCATTCAGGCAAATAAGATCTCAAAAATAAAAAGAGGGCCAGTAAAGTCACTTGCTAAGGGTGACATCTGACTCCCACAAGTTCCCGAGGTCTTCAGCCCACAGAGGCGCCCTACCCCCAAATAACTGCATTTCGAAGAGTTACAGGTATTCAGCAACAGGCATTGACCGAGATGACTAAACATAAGACATGCCCCTTGAAATGACTGGAGCTCAGGAAAAAAGAAAAGACAGACCAGCTTAAGGGTCTTTCCGACTGAGAGACACCGTGGGAAGAAGACTTAGGACTGGGACCTAAGTGGCCCCACAGGTGGCCATGCTGCTGGAGGGAGGATGTGGAGCCTGGCTGACTGGAGCCTGGCTGGCTGAGGTGGGTCATGGCGGGTAGGTCTTGGAAGCAGTATACCCAACCCTGCTTCTGGGCTCTGCTCCCCGATCTACCAGGATGTGAGAAGGTAGCCACAGGTGAGTCTACTGTTACCAACTCCAGATACTCAGTTAACTTTCTACATACATCTGTGTCCCTGTAAAACACCGAGACTGCTTCTTATCAAACCTTTCTTTGTTGGACTGCGAACTCTCAATTTACTTGGACGTCTCAGGAGGCTCACTTCACCTAACGACTCTTGCATCAAGGATCACACACAAGGCTTTAGAGTAACAGAATCCTGGGTTCAGTTTAGCGCCCTGCCATTATGGGATGAGAGTTAGTTGTCTACAGCCCCTTGGGACTTCCTTACTCTCCTTTACTATTGTGAAAGTGCAGCCTAATTTGGAAGGGTATAAGAATTAAATGAGATAATATCCATTAAGGTTCATAGCAATGTGCACAGCATTTTGACCAATGATTTTTTTCTTTGTTTTGTGTGTGTGTATGAGAGAGAGAGAGAGAGAGAGAGAGAGAGAGAGAGAGAGAGAGAGAGAGAGGGAGGGAGGGAGGGAGGGAGGGAGGGAGAGAGAGAGAGAGAGAGAGAGAAATCTATATAGTGAGAGAGAGAGATCTCACTATATAGTCCAGGTTGTCCTGAAACTTGCTTTGTAGCCCAAGCTAACCCTGAACATATGATCCCCCTGGCTCACTCAACTTCACAAGTGCTGTGATTACTGGCATACACTGTCACTCCTTGCTTAATTTATCAGTCATATCTCCAGTTGGTCCTCATCCATCTTTGCTTAAGACTTTCTATATATCCTTTATCTATGCTAATCAGCTGTATCTGGGATATTGTTGTATATCAGCTGTACAATCCCAGAAAGCTATGTTTTTATATCTAATAGAACAATCTTTAGATTTTTTATTATTATTGTACTTGTATGTATGCATGATATGTGCATAGGTGTATGTGCCCTGGTGTGTGTGGAAGTCAGAGGACAATTCTGTAGAGTCAGCTCTCCATCTACAACCTAGAGGCCTTCAGACAGTAGGAAACCCCACTCATATCAGCATGCTCAGCCCAGCCCAACAAAAGTCTGTCTGCTGGCTCATCAGAAAAAAGGGAGCTGGTAAACTTTGTTGGCTGCAAAAATATTTAGGCGTCTTCTATAAGTCCCTGAATTCTATCATATCGTTTTCTTCCTGATAATGGTTTGGCAACTGGTTTCCTTATTAACAGTCAATATTGGTCTTTGTTATTACTCTGGCCAGATTTGTAAGTGCACCAACTCTAAGTGCCACCCAGTACTAAGCTAGGGAAACGAAAGCATCAAGCCAAGACAGGCACTCAACAGTGGGTTAGAGTGTCTAGCCAAAGTGATAGAGCATTTGGGAAGAGACATTTAGTGTAATTCACTAAAAACAGTCCTAGAAATTGAGGAGCTTTCTTCTTAGCACCTGAGGAATGTGACTAAGCACTCCCTGACTTAATTCAAAACTCAATCAAGTACATAAAACCAACTCACACACTACACTGACAATCTAGGTTTTGTAAATTTTTAAATGTGGCTTGAGAGAGAAAGACACCATGTGACAGAGTTCAAGCAGAGGGGCTCTTTATCAAAGGAGAACGATTGTAAAAAGGGAAATGGGAGGGGGGAGATCAGCCTCTGGGGATAGGAGCAGTGGGAGAGAGGGAAGAGAGGCAGAGAGAGGGGGGAAGAGGAGAGAGAGAAGAGAAAGGAACAGACAACAGAGGGAGAGGAAGAAAGAGAAGGATGGGAGGTGGGCAGGGCCCTTTTAAAAGGGGGCATAGTGAGTAGAAACAGGTGGTGCTCTTGGTGGCAGCAGCTGAGGGTGTATCTTGTCAGAACTCCAAAGGCAGATCAGTATAAATACTAACACTAGGGATACCACATGACACTCCTGTTGTTATGAAAAAACACCATGACCAAAAGCAACTTATGGAAGAAAAAGCTTACAATTCCCGAGGGACAGAGTCTATCATGGCAGGGAGGCATGACTAAGCTCATGTGGGGACACAGAGGCCCTTATACTCACAGAGAAGCACTAAGAGAACCAGGAATGTTAGTCACACAGGGCAGTCTTATCAATGGAGGAGATAAAAATCAAATATTTGCATCCCATTCAGAAAGCTCAGAGTAGGTTTTGTTAGTGATCTGGTGACCTTTTTGCCATCTGTGGAGGCTGACCCCACCCACTTTTTTTCTGTAGAGATAGACCTCACCCAAATTCCCCAGAATGATTGTTCCAGATTCTTCCCCCGCTAGACTGTTACCTATCCTTAGGGGAGATGTCACATGCATTTGATGGCCTGCTGACCTCTATGCTATTGGTCAGAGACAACACTAGATTCTAAGCCTTTTAGCAATAGAACCCACTGTTGCGGAATATTTCTTTACACTGTGTGAAGATGTGTTGCTGTGATTGGTTTAATAAAGAGCTGAATGGTCAATAGCTAGACAGGAAGAGATTAGGCTGAACTTCCAGGACAGAGAGGACTGTGGGAAGAAGAAAGGTGGGGTTGCCAACCAGACTCAGATGAAGCAAGATGGGAAGTCCAGAGATGAGATAACACCATATGGCATGACATAGATTAATATAAATGGGTAAATTTAAGCTCCGTGTTGTTATTTGGGAGCTGGCTGGTGGCACAGAAAAAGACTTGTTAAAACCCACCCTCAGGGTCACATTTACTTTGTAAGAGTCTCTACATAGTCACACCATAAGCTTTATTGTGCACCTGGAATTGGACTGATTATTGCCTGGAAACCTTCTCCCTAATTGTATTATGTTTTAAATGTGCCAACAATGAGCCATCTGGCATTAGACTCCTCAGATCCTGCTCCAGGTTGATGAAGTTAATCTGTACCTGGTTTCATTTGTATTTTTTCTTGTGGTTCAGTATGCTTTCCTGTCTGACTCCTGCAAGGAATGAAGTAAGAGAGCAAACTGGAATCAGGCAAGGGTTTTAACACTCAAAGCCAGCCCCCTGTGACGTACTCCACACTTCCTAAACCTCCCCAAACAGTGACACCAGCTGGGACCAAGTGTTCAAATGTGTGAGACTATCGGGGACATTTCTCATGCAAGCCACCAAAGTTACCAAAATGATTTTCAAAGGAAGGAAATGACTTGTTCATTGTACATATACATCATAGCTCACTTTAAACTATGCCTCTCTATGGGCATCAGGGGTTTAGATGGAGTTTGGCAGGTATAAATTGGATTGTAAACAGAAAAAGGAAGGGAGCTGTGGGGTAAGGGTGGATGTGTCCCCCCACCCCTTGTACGAAGTGACACATTTCTCCTACAGATCCTTCCCTTGCTGTGGCTTAGACGCCAGATGATGTTACTGGACCCCTGAAAACCCTGTTCTCAACTGAGGAGTAGAACAGGCCTGGATGACAGGAGCAGAGAGAAATGCAGGTTCCTCGGCTTCCTCCTGAGTCCTGATCCACAGGGGCAGCTCCCACCACATGGAACCTCTTTGTAATTAAAGTGAGGGAAAGTCTCCATGGGGTAAGAAGTCTCCTAACAGTATGCAACAATGAGGCCTGGAAACAGTTTTGAAGAGCTAAATGCAGACATTCAGAAATAACATTTTAGGAAGTGTTTCTTAATGTCCGTAGTGGGAGCATGCAAGTTTTAATTAGAAAAATACTTCCCAATGATCTGTTTTAACAGTCAAACTAAGTCACATGGAGTTCTGCATATATGCAGATTTTTGTTCCCTCCTCCCTAGACCAAGTATTAGAATATCTTGAGGAAACCTCTATTGTGGGAGTTAATGAGCAATAAAATGACAACACTAAAATCTTTTATCAAGGCTGGGAGTGGAGAAGCATGCCAGTAACTAACCAAGTACTTGAAAGGGAGCGGATGAGACTGGTGACAAGCCACGAAGAGTGGGTGCTGGAGAGGTAGCTGAGAGCTCTACATCTGAATCTGCAGGCAGCAGGAAGAGAGTGACATGGGGCCTGGCTTGAGCATTTGAAAACCCATAGCCCAAATCTAGTGACACATTTCCTCCAACAAGGCCACACCTACCCCAACAACAATACACCTTCTAATAGTGCCTTTCCCCAGTGACCAAGCATTCAAATCTATGAGCCTATGGGGCCATTCCTATCCAAACCACCACACTGTGAAATAACATTAGAAAAAAAAAACAGGATAAAAGAATAAAACCAAAATTGAAGGGCTGAACTAATATTGAGGAAATCTGGAATGTGAAACAGGTAATTAAGGACTTGTTCAATTAATGGTACTTTCAAAATGAACAGGAAATACCATGGAGTAATTTAGGGAACATTTCCAAATCTGAGGGACACAAATTTCAGGATTAAAGTGACTAATCACATACTCGATGCAAAGAGTGGAAAAGACTCACAATGGAGAAAAAAGTATTTTCATTGTTAGGATATTGGTTGCCAAAATGAAGTATAAGCCTTGATTGACTTTTATGATATAAATTTGGAATTCACCAGGAAATGGTTTTAACATAGATTGGGTGCAGGCATTAAGGGGGAGTAAGGGGCTCTCGGGAAAAGGACAGTACACACTTGGGCTCCTTAAGGGAACTCACTTTTCCTTATAGACCATCAGCTCCTTGAAGACCATGAGTATCTTCAGTCCTGTTGGTCCCTGAATCCAGTAACTAGCAAAGACCCATCCAGTAGTGAGAGTTTATTGACCGCCACTTCCTTCAAGGAAGAGAGCCAGGAGCTGGAGGCAAACCCAACTCCGACCTTCAGAAACACAGGCTTTTTCTTAAGGTAAGAAGGGATGTCATGAACTCTCCTGTAGCCAGAAGGCGGTGGGGTGAGGAAGATGGCATGAGTACATTCCCCAGAATCAAGGCACTGAGCTAACGCCTTCTCAGTACAGGTCACGTGACTTCAACTTGGCCTATGAGGAGAGCCCATCCTACCTGGGAAGTCCGATTGGCTAAGTTGTAGGCATGTGACCAATCAGACCCTCGGTTAGGCCGCACAGTTGGAAGTGGGCGAGGGTTACTGAGGCGGTTGGTGCCAGTCTGGTGATTTGAAGGCAGAGCTTTCACTTCTGAGACACTAGTAGCTCCCAGGTGCATGTGCACTGAGCCACGAAATCAGGTTTACTCATCCAACACCTAGGTACTGTCTTGTCTGCTGCCGTCTGCCATGAGACTGTTTTTCCCTCACGCCGTGTTGTCTGCTCGTGTAACCCACTTTGGATTAGGTGTTATGACATCGGCCCTTGCCCTACTGTCATTTTGAGCCACCCAAACCCCTGCGCTGCCCCCTGTAGACGCTGCGTAGTGGTTCCGGGAACTCAGACTCCAGTGTAGTACTTTGTGGACCATTTCACGCAACCGGGCCACTGTCCTCTTCCACGTCCCCAGTGATGCCTCTTTTATGTTCAGGCTCCTCCAAATCTCCAGACTCTGCGTGTGAGAGAAAACCATATGTGTTTGTCTTTGTGGGACTGGCTTGTCTCATGTAACACAGTCATCTCTAGTCTCATATACTTTCCTGAGAATGACACTTCGTCCTTATGACTGAGTATATGGTTTTTGACTTGGGTTGTGTAATGTGTTTATCAGTTTGTGTATGTGGAACCATCCTTTCATTCTTGGATGGAAGCTTTTAGTGTGTTGTTGAATTTGGTGTGAATACTAAATACTATCATTAAGAATTTCACATCTATGTTTAAGGAAATTGACATATTTTTTTCTGTTTATTGTGTCTTTATCTAGTTTTTGCACACTGGTAATACTGATTTTGTGGAATGTGTTGGGAAATGTCCCTGCCTTTCTATTTTATTTAATACTTTGAGGAACAGTGGACCCTTTTTAAATACCTAATAGAATTCATCCATGAATATGGACTTTTTGTTGTTGTAATTTCTGCTTTAATTTTCAACTACATTGTTTGTTATTTATCTATTTAGGTATTTTATATGTCTTTCTTGTTCATTTTTGGAAGGTTACATGTGTTTAGAAATGTTTCAGTTTCTTCTAGTTTTATAGTTTAATGAAGTATAGGTTTACGAACTCTTTCCTAATGATTCTTTAGATCAGTGGTTCTCAATCTACGCTCCTTTGTAGGTCAAATGACCTGTTCACAGCAATCACCTAAGACCATTGGAAAACACAGATATTTGCATTAGATTCAGAACAGTAGCAAAATTATAGCTACAAAGTAGCAATGAAATAATTTTATGTTTGGGGGTCATCATGACATGAGGAACTGTATTAAAGGGTGGCATCATTAGGAAGTTTGAGAATTGCTGCTGTAGATTTTAGTTGTATCTGCCATAATCTTATCTTCTTTTTTTATTTAACTTTTTACACATGTTACTCTCAGTTTCCTCTCCCTCCCTCAGCTCCCCAGTCCTCTCAACCCCCACCCCAGCCCCCCAATCTTCTCAGCCCCCCACCCCACCCCATCCCCCCTCTACTCCCCAGGGAGGGTAAGGGCTTCCATGAGGGATTTTCAGAGTCTGTCATATCATCCAGGGCAGGGCCTAGGTCCTCCCCCTTGTGTCCAGGCTGAGAGAGCATCCCTCCAAGTGGAATGAGTTCCCAGAGTCCATCTGTATGCCAGGGATAAATACTGCCCTCCTCTCCAAGGTCCCACAGATTGCTGAGGCCTTCTTTAGCATCTACTTTTATAATTTGTGTCTTCCCTCTCTTGGTTAGTTGGGCTAATGGTTTTGTCAGTTTTGTTTATCATTTCAAATAACCGACTCTTTGTTTCTTTGACCCTTTTTGTTACTCTTTTGGTTTCCATATCATTAATTATAGCTCTGATCTTTATCATTTATTGTCACCTACTGTTTGGGGGGGTTAGTTTCTTCTGTATTCTATGACCTTGAAGTGCATTATGAGGTTGTTTGAGACATCTCTGATTTTGTGATAATAGGAATTTATAGTTATAAATTTTCTCATAGGCCTGTTTTTAATTTTTAAAGCTCTGCTTTTACCAGTTGGTGTTCGTGACTGAAATCCTCCACATGCAGGCAAGAGAAGGGAGGAAGGAGGTAATGCTGCAGCTGGAGCAGGAGGTCAGCTCTCCTGGGGAGGCAACCCTCACAGATCATTACATGATCCTCAGGACCCTTGGCAAAGGTAGCTTTCTGAGGTGAAGCTGGCCTGCCACCTCCACACAGGGGTTTGGGTTGCTGTCAAGATCCTGGGAAGGAGTGAGAAGAGCGACTCTGTTATCATGACCGAGATAGACATCATTAAGTCACTGGACCACCCAAATATTATCAAACTGTTCCACATCATTGAAACCAGAGAACACACCTATATGGTGATGGAACATGCTGCCGGGGGAGATCTGCTGAGCCATATTGAGGAGGTGGGCTGTCTGCAGGAAGAAGAGACCCACTGCATCTTCACACAGATGGCGTGTGCAGTTAACTACTGCCACGAGAATAGTATTGCACACAGAGACATCAAACCAGACAACATCCTGCTGGACAGCAAAGGAAATGTCAAACTGTGTGACTTCGGCTTAGCCATCAGAGTCACCTCTGGGCAGAGGTTCAAGGGATTCTGTGGCACCCTTGAATATTGTGCTCCAGAGATTTTCACTGATGTAGAATATGACCCACAAGCAAATGACATCTGGAGCATGGGAGTGGTTTTATACACAATGGTGACAGGGCGCTTCCCATTTGAGGCAGAGACCTATTCACAGATGAAGGAGAAGATGCTGCATCCCGAGTACTCCATCCCACCGGTGCTCTCCCACAACATTGTAAACCTCATTGTGCAGTTGTTCACTGTGGACCCTGAGCAGAGGCCCAAAATATGTGACATTATGCAGCATCAGTGGCTCAAGGGCTGTGAAGAACTTTCCAAACCCGAATCTTCCTTGGAGACGCGACCCAGCAACCCAACTCCCAGTATTGTGGTGACTATGTGGACTATGGGTTACAATGCCAAGGACATTAGAGACTCTTTACGTGAAAAAAAATTCAACAGTATCATGGCAACTTACCTAATTTTAAAACATCAGTCACCCTGGAGGGACAACAGTAGCCATCAGATGAAGCCTGTGTGTCATAATGTTGCCATGACACTTGTAAGCCCTCCCACCTCCCGTCCCCCCTTAAAGAGGACAAGGAGTGAGCCTGCTCTTCACATTTTTACCTTTCCAGCAAAATGCCACTTGAGTGACAGTGCCAAGCTTGCCAGGAAGAAGGGATGCAGAAGTTGCAGCATGCCTGGCGTCCCGTGTTGCCAACGGAAGAGAGCTCTTCCTCCCGACACAGATGCCCAGCTTGCTCCTGTGGCTGCTCAGCTTGTGAGCAGCAGCCGTTGGGAGACCAGCATGACCTCCAAGGGTATCACATCCTCAGAGGGTATTTCTTCTGAAAAATATCCGTCCTATAAGGCACCCCAGATCGTAGTCACCACTGAGAACAGCTTTTGCATCCAGAATATACCATCCGAAAAGAACTCCAGAGAGGCATCCCAGGGTGTGACCACCAGTGGCACATGTGAAAATAAGAGGAGCAGATGCCATGAGGAAGCATCTTCTGAAGAAAAATTCTCAGGTGTCCAACCCCGGGGAACAAACACAGCTTCTCCTCACAGCCTACAGCAAGGCTGGGGGAGGTTTAAGAGGAGAATGGGGAGTTGTGTGCAAAGACTATGCTGCTGCCTGCCAGCCCAGCAGACAAGTCGGGTCTTCCAGAAGGAAGTGACTCCAGTGGAGGGGGAAGGCAATGGCGTCGCACAAAATCAGGTATGTGGGGTGGCGAAGGGGGACTGACGCATTTCATTGTTTATGCATTGCTAATGTCATTTTCAATGGACACGTGATAACCATCCCATGTATGGGGTATGCAGTTCACCATATCTGTGAGTTCAGAAGAAACAATCCTGTATAGCCTGTAAAAGCTTAGCTACAGACACACAGCAGAAGATGAGGCTCGAGGCCACGGGAGCAGCAGGACGGGGCTGGCTAAAGCGGGCAAGTGTTGTCGGGGGATAGCTGTGGCACACAGGGTGAGCAAGGAAGCACGGGTAAGAAAAACCCAGACACAGACCCTGGGGTTCAAGCTGAAGATCGGAGAAGCAAAGCGGCAGCTGCCAGAGAGCTCTCACCTCTGCCAAGGCTGAAATGGAGATCCTGTCTTCCCTGTGACTGGAAACTGAATCTCACATGAGACCCTTCGCTTCTTCACTGAATACCTCTCCTCTCCAGTGCTGGGATTAAAGGCGTAAGCTCTGTTCCCCAGGGTGGTCTTGTACTCACAGAGATCCATCTGCCTCTGTCTCCTGAGTTTGGGATTCAAGGTGTGTGCCGCCACTGCCCATTGTCTATGACTAACTAATGTAGCCAGCTTTGCATTCTGATCTCCAGGCAAACTGTATTTGTTATATTATAAACAATGCATCACCACAGAACAACAATCAAGGACCAAATATTTCCTTCCTTCCTTCCCTTCTTTCTTTCATATTATTTTTATTTTATGCGCATTGGTATTTTGCCTGCATGTTTGTCTGTGTAAGGGTTCAGATTCCCTGAAACTAGAGTTACAGACAGCTGTGAGCTGCCATATGGGTGCTGGGGATTGAACCTGGGTCCTCTGGAAGGGCAACCGATGCTCTTAACTGCCTAGCCATCTCTCCATCCCCCAAATCTTTTAAGGTAGCCATTATTAAAGAGAAGTCTTTGTGTTTTGTTTTGCTGTTTTTTGTTTTGTATTTGTCTTTTTTCTTTGTTGTTTTGAGACATGGTTTCTCTTTGTAACAGTCCTGGCTGTCCTGGACCTCACTCTGTAGTCCAGACAGGCCTCTGCCTTGTATTTCAAAATCACTAAAATAGTCCTTTTTGTGTGTCTTTTTGCTTTCAAGTGTTGAGCCTCTGTGTACTCTGAGGCGTGGGATGGGAATTGGCCTAATGCAACATGAACCGTGTAGGAAAGTCAGATGGCAGTGTGTCTGCATGCCCATCACGGAGGCCTCTGTCAGGCACAGGAGAAAGTAAGTAAGCCATTGTAGTTTCTCCACAGGAAATCTCAGTGACGAGGAATAAGGCCTGGGGCTAGACATCCTCAGTGTCCTGCTCCGAGCAGGAGTGTGAGCCAAGATGATGCCCAAAGCTTGGCAGGGGCAAGAAGCCCCATTCTGCCCAATCTTGGGGGGAAGGTACAACTATTTGCTGGGACACACGACTTCCTGCTTGCACATGTGTCTTTCCATTTTGGTTTCCGGGGAAATGGTTTTTCACATGGGGAAGAGTTCTCTCATCCAAGAGACTATTACTATTAGAACCTATGATCCCAGGTGGGTGATGGCCTTGATAGAGTGAATATGGGAGGCAGGACGGTGGGTGGCTATAGGGACATGTGGTTCCTGTATCCTGGGACTCAGAACAGATGAACGATTGGGAAGTCTGATCTGGGCTGTGTCCCCAGGACAGCTGTGTCCCCAAGGACAGCTGCATCCCTCCCTCTTTAACTTCCTCTGACTGCTGTTGGTTTTGCTGCGTGCCTTATGTTCCTGATTTCCTCCCAGGCCAGGAGACTAGTTCCAAAGCATGCTGGTCCAGCAAATTAGAAAGGAAAAGGACCCTTCGTGCGAGGACTTTTAATGGGAGCTAAGTCTGTCTTTTGTCTGTCAGGACAGTGCCAGTCAACTGGAGAAGACTGTGCATCATTTTGGCTGGACTGCTGAGACAGTGTTCCCCTTCAGAAAGGTGAGTGACTCTTGCCAGGCCTGGGGCACAGTGGTCTCACATGGCATTTTTGGTCGTTACTGAACTAAGCTGTATCCAGCGTCTCCCTTTGAGTTAGGCCTAGACAGAAACCTTGGTCGTCACTGGGCTGGGACTTTCAGCCAGCATTGTCAGCTTGTGTGTCTTTGTGTGAGTTGTCTGTAGCGTTCTGAACACCTTCCCATTGGAGAGCTTCTCCCTGTAATGAGAGCACCTGCTCACAGGAGGCTGGAAGAGGGGGGCAAATGTGTGGGCAGTTCATTGCTAAGAATGTCGTTGAGTCCACTAAGCACTGGCTTGTGGGAGAAAACAAATTTCTAGGGCCTTCTCTTACCTTGACACTGACCTGAATACAGAGCATGGAAACCCGAGGCCAGCCTACCTCAATCCCCGGGACAGCTGTCATTGACCCTGCCTTACAGAAAGCAGCACAGGTGACTAAGAGAAGGCAGTGGTGTGACTTTGGAGGGAACCTGATGCCATTGGGGCGGGTAGCAACTAGCATATTTCCTCTCTGATACCGTTCCCAGACCACTGTGGAGAAGCAGCTTGTGTTGACAGGGGTAGGCATCCCCTACTTGTACCTGTGTGGGTGTGACTGCCATCCTGCTGCCAGCCACCAGCTCTAACTAATTTGGATTCCAGAACTATGAACACAGGCGAGCCTCCTGCCTAACACAGGAAACAGGCCCACAGCTTGCTATGGGACAGCACAGGCCTAGGTCAGCAGGTAACTCCTGAGCCAGGACTTTGGTCCTACTGCACAGTTGTGACGCCAGGGCCTGGGAAAGGGGTAATCATGTGCTCTGGCTCCCAGCCATGCATCAGGCTCCCAGGAAGCACAGTCCAAGTGAACGATGGGCTCTAGTGCCTGCTAGTGGTCCCTGAGAAGAGGCTGGGTCTCCGGAATGCAGAAAAGATGCTGCCCAGGGGGCTTGGTGGCCTTTTCTGTGGCATGGTTGTGTCTGTCCCTGCTGCTCAGGACAGTGTTGTTGCCTTTGCTACCCACAAGAGGTAGTCAGGTGGGAAATGAGCCCTCAAGCCCAGCACCCGCACTCAGTTTGCACATTTCTCACACCTCTGAGGGGAGGGACAAGGGGCAGTCATGTCACCCTAAAGTAGCTCAATATGTCCACCTTACAAGTCTCAGGGATGCTCAGCAGCTTGCACTTCAGGAGAAAGGATGTTCAGGCAGCCATGCCTTCTGGCCCCAGCCACAATGCCCAGTGTGGCACCCGCCAGGGACCATCCTTTCTCCTCTCTCCATTCTGCAGCTTCTGTCCGTGGGTTCTGTTGTGGAAACTTATTTCCAGAGTGTCTTCAGCCACCCAGCTGAACAAGTGTAAACGCGGTGAACAGTGAGAGGGTGGAGTGCCTAAGTGGGCGCCGTGGGTCTGGAGCCGTTTCTAGTCATCTGTTCATAGAGCTGCTGCCAGCAGCCGGTCCAGGCAGGCCAAGCTCACTTCAGATAGTCCTGCAGACAGAGGGCTCCGAGACAGACTCGCTGGTGCCTACTGAACAAAGTCACAGAGGAGACCAAATCAGGCCTTGTATTTTCTCCTTTTGCCCCAAATGCCACATGAAACAAGTTTGCTATTCTCTGATGAGGCCATAGACACTGCCCTGGAGAACGAGGGGCTTTCTGCCAGCTTCTCCTTTGTCGAGACCTCCCTTCCTCTCATAGGTTCTTGGCCACTTCTTGTAGTACATAGCCAGGAGTTTCCTGACTGAAGGCCCTGTGTTCTGCACTGCTGCTAATGATGGTGTAGAGCTCCTCCCATCTCTTCTTTAACTGGGGGAGACCAGCATGTCACTTCCCGAGGCTCTGAAGCAGCTCAGGATATCCACAACTTCGGGCTGATATGGTGTTCTGGGTGATGATGTGGTTTTTCTCCCAACATCCAACTAAAGACCAGAGTCTCCTCCCAGATCTGGGATCTGCATGTGGGTCCCCTTAGGGAGGCTTCTCAGTGGCCCTGCTTTGACCCTCTGTATACCTATACAGTGCAAGGAGGTCACCCGTGCCTCTCTGTCCTCGCAGATGCTCGAGAAAACCTGCCTGAGCAGATGGAGAGTCTCAGCAGAGCCTTGAGAAGTGAGCACACATCTGTGCCTGGCCGCTGGGCTGGGTCTCCTGAGGAGGGCAGTGACCATGGACCGCCCCCCACGTCTCAGATCATGGCTAATGTGAAGGTGGGAACTTGGAGTCATCCAGGTGGACCATCTCTCATTGATATCACATAGATCCAGTCTACAACAGACCCTAACACTGTAGTTCTGAAGTAGAAATCCAACCTGATTGAAATAAATTGGCATCGGAACACTGCGGCATGGCTGAGGGAAATCTGAAGGCAGAGACTCTCAGACGCTCCTGCCCTTCAGCAGCACAGTTGGTAAGGTGACAGATCCTTTGAACTTCATCTAAAGACTCAGCAGAGTGGCAGATGATGCTCAACACACCAAATGTAGCAAGCAACTAGGCTTAAGCGTGGAAGAGATGGCAGAAGACGGGAGCAATCCTCAAGACCCCAGACTTCTGGTTCCAGCACTCAGGAAAAGCCTCAGGGATACAGAAAGTGCTCAAGGGACATAATGGAGACCAGATACGTGGAGCTGACCACAGAGTCCAGCAACAGACCCATCTAAATGACTAAAAATTCCACTTGGAAGCTATAAAAGTCATAGGAGGAACTGTTCTTGGAAAACAAAGCCTAGAGCTGCCCATGCCATCCCTCTCCACATACACTGCTGATGTGAACACACCTGTCGCTGCCCTCGGAACACTGCTAGGCACCAGGGCCTGCAGGACATCCCACTCCCTGCTGCTGGGGACATAGACACTTCCTATCCCACATACACTGCTTGATAACATGTTTTGCCTGAGATCTGTCTCCTCTCACCCCCCACAACAACCCCGCATATTCTAGAAGGCATCAGAATCCTTCTGCCCCTCCACGCCCACTGCTCAACAAACATTAGGACTCGGGACCTGGGGGCCACGTCTTCCTCTGCTGATGCTGCCCAACAGCACTGCCAATTAAAGGGTTTTCTTGACATTTCCTCCTCTGCCACCCCTCCCCAAATGTCGGCTAGGTGTCATGCCCAGCTAGACACCCTCCCCAAGCCCCATCACTCTCTCCTCTATCTCAGGACATCATCCTCCATGTTTCTATGTATCAGGTCATGTTGACCATTCCTGCCGTGCCCCCCAGTGCACATGCACTCCCTCCACCTCATTGCCCCCTAAATGCAATTACGTTTTAGACCATGCCAAACAGCCTGCTTCTATGCAGCAGTGTACGCTGGGGCACGTGGGGTGGAGTGTCAGCAAGACGACACCTCGCGGTGTATGTGTGGTGCCAGTCGCAGGGCCGGGAAAGGGCATCCACCATTTCTAGCAGCATATATGGGGCAAGGCAGGAGTGGTGGGTCTTGTGATCCCTAGCAAGGCAGGGTGGATGGTATCAGCCAAGGTCTGGTACCCAAATGTGTTTGTGTGTGTGGGTGCAAGTAGGGTAGAAAGAACCAATATCTAGAAGGTGTGTGTGCCAGCTTCAGAGTGGTGTCCAGCAGGGCCTGATAAATCGCAGTGTACTTTGGGTGGTAGTAGGGTTGGGGAGATTAGTAAGATCTCATAAAGTACTTAATGGGAGATGGAGGTCAGGAGTGTCCATCAGAACTTGATACCTAGCAGTCTATATGGGGCATAGTGGGCATATCTAGCTGTATATGACACCTACACATTGGGAAAGGAGTGGCAGGGGAGTGTGTTGAGCATGGCTTGAAGTACAGCAGTATATTTGGGGTGGAAATGAGGTATGGGGCGTGCCTGGCAAAGCCTGATACCTTGCCCAACATGCAGGGTGATACTGAGAGCTCCAGTAGGACCTGACACACAGTGGTGTATGTGACACTCCAGGGGTGTGCCCAGTGGGGCAAATACATAGCAGTGGGTATGAGCAATGGTGATGTGGGAAAGGATATTGCCAGGGGCTGACAATTAGCAGTTGGGGGGGCAGTATATGCTGAGGGCCTGTCAGTGGCAGGGTAGCCTGTTGGCCCTTAGAAATTGTGGTGTATATGTATCTAGTATGGCCTTATACCTATCACATAATGTGGGACAGAGGCAGGTATCCAGCTAGATCTAATACGCTACATCGTGTCTGCAGGTGCAATGGGCTTGGCTATCCAGCAGGTATCTAAACATCTGGAAATTTGTATATGATATCCACTCCCCTCTTCAGACATCCACGTGCAATGCTAGTTTTCAGGCATCTTCCAGCTTACCATGGCTTTCTGTCCAGAAGACTTCTAGTTATCAGGCCTTGCTGAACAATACCTCATGGCCACTGCACCACATACAGTGCTTGGTATCAGGTCCTGCTGGACAGTCTCCTACCCTCACTGCCCACCAACATGCACTGCCCATTATCAGGCTCAAGTAGGTTTTAGGTCATTCCAAATGTAGTCACACTGACAACCAAGAATCACACCTTGACTTTCCAAAGTTCGTTGCTTGGCATTATGCCTCAGGGGACACCCCAACATCACACTCACACACACACACACACACACACGCAGTGCTAGGTATTAGGTGTGTTTGGACATTGCACCCAAACTACCCCATGTACACTGCTAAGTGTCAGGCCCTCTTGGGTATCACCCACAGCTACCAACCTGCTACAATATAGGCCTGAAAGAGGCTGCCTAGCAGGACCTGATACCTGACACCCCACAATATTTGGGGGAGGGGAGCAGTGGTCCAGCAGGAGTTGATCCCTAGCAGTACATATGGATTTCCAGCAGGGGCAGGGCTGTCCAGCAGGGCCTAGTCCCCCGAAGTGTATATGGAGCATTGGTAGGACGCTCTGCAGCACACACTCTCACCCAGCTCTGCCCACTCGGTATCAGGCCCTGCTGGACGGTCCGTCCCCTCTGCTGCCTTCCCCCTTCTCTTCCTCCTGCACACTGCTAAATGCCGTCTCCTACTGGAAAGAGCCCCTTCCTCAGCATGCATACACCGCTAGGTGTCAGACCCTGATATCACCCACCATCTTTGGTACACGGCCACCCGTCAGGGCCTTCCACTGCCACCTCACATACACCGTTAATAGCATGCTTTGGTGGGATTGCACCCACATACACAACACCCCACAGACAATGAGAGGTATTAGATCCTGCTGAGCCCACCATCTCTCATCGCCCCATGAACCTCTAGGTAGGAGACCATGATTCATCATTCTCGCCCATTACCTGCCCACATTGCTGCTGCACAGACCACATGATACTAGATATTAGGTTCAATTCAATACCTCCCTCTGTCTCTCATAAAGTGCTGGGCATCAGGACATACTCAACACCCCTTCCTCACCACAACCCAAATTACATATTTGTCAGTTTATACTTGACATTGGCCTGTCACCACCATATGCAAACTTCTGCATATCAGGCCCTACTGGACATACTCCTGCTACTCACCTCAAGAAACTTCTTGATATCATGTCCTGGTGGCCCCTCACTCCACTTATACAACTAGGTATCAGGCCTTGCTAGATATCTCCCAATTCACTGCTGAAACCACCCATATTCTGCCAGGTATCAACGCTCGATGCTCTTTCCCCTGCCCCAAATACACAACTTGGTTTCAGAGCTTGCAGGACACCATGGGAGGCAAGAAGGTAGTTCAGATTAACACAACTAGCTGGTGTTGGCTCAAACTTCAGTAGTCTGACCCCAAGTAGTTTATTTTAGGCATATTTAAGTACAATTTGGTGAAAACTTTCCTGGTGATAATTTACTCAATCTTATGTGCACAATAAGATAAAAAGTAAGCTAAATAAAGATCAGATGTGATTACATTGAAAGGCTTTGTAAAGTACATGTGACACCTCCCAAAAAGATGGGTTCTATTGATTGACTGAGTAAAACAAGTTTGCTCTAAGAGCCTGGGGGAGGGTCTAGTGTGGTCTCCAGTCAAATCGATAGCACAAAGACCAGGCTATTGACCATGACTGCTCCCAGCCTTCTGGGCAGATAACAGGCTATGCATTCTTTCCTTTGAGGGAACAATTCTGTGTCTTTAGTATTACACTTCTCCTGGTGCTCATCTGTGAGCACAGTTTTCCATGCCCCCTACAAAGCCTCGCAATCACAGTATATACTGCTAAGTATCAGATCCTACTGGACTCCTCTCATTAGCTGGGCATGTTCACTCCTTGGTACCACACTAAAACACTGCTACTTTTCTGGCCATACTGGGCACCCCCTTGCATGCCTCCCATCTAAACTTGTAGGCAGCAGGCCTGGGTGGACACCCACGCACATACAAGGTAGGTATCAGATTCTACTGAACACTGCCCGACTTCCACCACTGCCCTTCAAACATCACTAGGTATGAAACTGGGCTGGAAACCACATTGACACCTTATAAACACCATGAGGTATGGGACCCTGATAGATCTGAATCATGGCTCATACCACATACAATGTAAGGGATTAGGTCTGCTATTTCTTGCCCCTTCCTTGCCTGACTCATACACACGGCTATGAATTAGACATTACAAGAGATACCCCCTATTCCACGCCCAACATGCACAACTAGATATCAACCCCTGGTGGACAAGCCCCCACCCACCAACACTCTGCATACACTGATGGACACCCTGGATACAATGATGAGTAACTGGACCTGCTGGATCCCGCCCCTGTCCCCTACTCCCATCCCACACTACCAGCTGGCATATGTTGCTAGATCTCAGATCCTTCTAGACACTACCATTTGATGGCCTCCCTACATGCATTGCTATGTGTTATTCGCCATTGTCTCCCGACATGCACTGCTGGGCATCCTGCCCTTGGGCCACTGCCCCATATACACTCTGCTTATTAGGTCATGCTGGACATGCTCCCCCTACCCCTGCTGCAGTGACACGTATGTGCTGTGTGTAGGCCCCACATACATGCTAGACACACACTACTGCCCCAATATACAGTGCTATTTATCTGGTCCTGGTGGACATACATTACTGCTACATAGAAATATCTAGGTATCAGGCCCTTGTGGCCACCCCTTCCACAAATAGCAGTCATGCATACGACACAGGGTTTCAGGCTCTACTGAATATCCCACTATTCTGCCGTCCATACACACTTGTTGGCCATGGCAAAGGGGTGTGCAGAATGGTTGAGAAGTAGCAGTGTATTTGGATGGCAGTAGAAACAAATATGTGAGTCCAGAAGAACCTGATATTTAGCACTTTATATAGGGCTGGGGACAGAGTCCAGAATTAGCTGATACCTAGCAGTATTGATGGGATGTCGGCTGGGGAAGGCTGTATAACTTTATGAGGTGCAGCAGCAGGGGCTGATTCAGAGCAGTCTGATAACTAGCAGTTTATGTGGCAGGGACTAGAGCAGTCAAACAGGGCCTGATATCTAGCAGTATATATGTGGTCATGAGGCAGAGCAGTATCCATTAGAATGCTTCGTATTGTGTGCTGGACCACAAGGCTGAAGAGATGTCCAGCAGGACCTAATAACCAACTTTGTAGCAGGTTGGTAGCTGTGGGTGATATCCAGGAGGGCTTGACACTTAGCAGTGTACATGGGGTAGTTTGGGTGCGATGTCCAAACACACCTAACACCTAGCATTGTGTGTGTGTGTGTGTGAGAGAGAGAGAGAGAGAGAGAGAGAGAGAGAGAGAGAGAGAGAGAGAGAGAGAGAGAGAGAGAGAGAGAGAGAGAGAGAGAGAGAGAGAGAGAGAGAGAGAGCATATGAGTGTGTGTTAATAGGAAGTTAGGAGTTTGTGTGTTTAAGAATGTAAGGAATTAACGCATTTTGATTTTGGGTGGCATGAGAATTTTGGTGTGATCACTCTCATGGAAATATGATGGAGTACTTGCTGGTTTCATGAGGTGTGAGGGAACCGAATGTGTGTGACTTGTTACATGTGCTTTAGGACAAAGGCTGAAAATGCAATGTATAAATTTGTTGAACGTAGTCAACAAATGAGATCATTAGGCACAATAAAATTGCATTAGGGTTGGCTAATGCTGGTGTGTTTCTGGGTGTGTATGGGGTATGCATGTTTGAGGGGTGAGGTTGTGTTGTTTTTCATTAAATTCAGTATCTGCCCCTTAAGCAACTGCCCTAATCAGCAGTTGCAACTCCACAGCTACCAGCTACAGCAGCACTGGTCATAGCCAGGTGGGAATTTTATTCCCCCAGGCACTGGCTCTATCACAGCCACCAAAAGGGGACTTTATCTAGATCTCCATCCCTCTACAGAACTCAGGATTCTGAGGTTGAGGTTAAATTCTGTTCACTCAGAGAGGCTGAATGGAGAGTAGAAATGTAAAGCTTGCAGGACCCGTGTCCCCACTGCCAGCTTCCCTCTTTGCGTTGGGTGGCAACTGCTGTGTATCCACAGGCCATCTGTGCCATTGTTTGAGAACCAGCATGTCTCCATGGAGCCTGAGGTCTCAGGAGCTAGACAGGACCTCTAAGCATTCATGTGGTATAAAAGGCTTGGTTTTCTGTTTGAGGAGCTTTATTTTCATGGGGGCAGGAGGCTGTTTAAAAGAAATGTTCTCATCTCTGTTGTCTCAGGACACCGTTAGCTCTGGGTAGCTCAGCTCATTGCATTTCCCCAGTCCACGTTTCCTTCTGTGTTCTGAAGCATTGTTGACCCGAGAAGAGTATTGCATCTCAGCACGCCTTCCAGGTGTCCACATATACCTTCTTCCTTTCGACCTCCTATCTTATGCCATTTTGAGTCTAGGATGGTTGTCTTCCAGGATAGGAACTAGGGACAGAGGCTGAAGAAGAATTATCCCTTGTAGGCACTTCTGACTCCCATGTTAAATGTCTCTCAAAGCATCACACAAGAGATTTTTTTTAAAAAAGTTATTTGAAAGTAGTATTTTATTTTTAAGGTTATGGTATAATGACATAACTTCATCTCTCCAAACCTTCCCATGCAATCCCCACTCCCTGCCTTGCTCTATTTAAAATTTATGGCTTTTTTCTTTGTTGTTGCCTATATAAATGTGTGTGTATACACACATATATGTCTGTATAATGTTACTTGTATATAAATCATGTGGTTTCTGAATCTACTTATATAGTGGACTACATTTAACAATTTGTGTCTATTGAACTATCCCCTTATCTCTGGGAATGAAGCTAGCTTGATCATGATGACTTTTTTGATGTGTTCTTGAATTTGACTTGTATTTTATTGGGAATTTTTGTGTTGATGTTCACTAGCCTATAATTTTCTATTCTTTCTTTATTTCTTTCTTCTTGTTGTTTTTTTATCAGGGAAATACTAATTTTGTAAAATAAGTTGGAGGATTTCTTCCCTTTTATTTTGTGGAATACTTTGAGGGTCTGGGGGATTTCTGAGTCAGCTTGGTCCTGGGATTTTTTTTAGTTGATTTTCAATTATGTGTTACACACATGTACACACACACACATACATACATATATATATGTATATATATATACACACACACAGAGAGAGAGAGAGAGAGAGAGAGAGAGAGAGAGAGAGAGAGAGGCAGACAGACAAAGATTAATGTAATAGACATTTAAAAGAAAGAAAAAAGAGGTCCAGCAAGATGGCTCTGCAGGTAAAACTGTTTTCTGATGAACTGAGTTCAATCTCCAGATCCCATAACAGACAGAAGGAAAGAACTGACTCCCTAAAGTGGCCCTCTGACCTCCATGTTTGTACACTCTTACCCACACACATCATACACTTCTATCTTACTGGGTGTTATGAATCTATTTAAATTATGAATCTCATTTTATTTAATTTTGGTAGGTTCTATATAGCTAGACATTTATCAATTTCTTTTAGATTTTCCTCTTTGGTGGAATATTTATTTTTAAATTATGTTCTTGTGATTCTTTGAGGTTTCCAAGTTTCTGTTCTAATGCCTTCCCTTTCATCTCTATGTTGCTAGAGTTTCTTGTCCCACTGAGTACCACCATCTTTCTCAGCCCCCAAACAAAAACATGGACATTATATTAGTTATAAAATTGTTGGCTGATGGCTAGGGCTTCTTATTGGATAGCTCTGTCTTCATTATTAACCCATTTGTTGTGGAGTTTCTTGTCCCACCAAGTTCCGCTGCCCTTCTCAGTCCCAAATAAACACACGGACACTATATTAATTATAAAACTGTTGGCCAATCACTTGGGCTTCTTATTGGCTAGCTCTGTCTTAATTATTAACCAATTTCTATAAATTATGTGTTTCCACATGGTTTTGGCCTACAGGAGAATGCTCGGACCTGTTACTCCTTTGTCGGCTACATGGCATCTCTCTGAGCCCCTCTCTGCCTATGTTTCCCAGAATTCTCCTCATCTCCTAGTCCTGCCTATTGCCACACCAAATCCAGTAGAGTCCATGTGACAAGTTCCACAGACTGAGGCGATAACTTCAAAAGAAGGAGACTGTTTCCAGGAGAACTTCTCAGCAGGAGAAAAATATTGAGCCATAGTTCTCATGGCAGTGTCTATTCTTCTATTCTTTTCTCACATTAATGAAATGTTCCCAAGCCTATGCTGACATTTTAAACAAAAGATATGAATGAGAACCTGTCCCCTGAGACGTGGTCACTGCCCATGACCTCTTCTCCAGGAAAACCAATGCTTTTTGAACCATTCACGTAAGTAAATAGTAATAGTATTGATAAAAACTTTCCCAACAATAAAATTTCATATGGCTGCACATGTGTGATCATGAGTGGTTTTAATGTTTGTTAAAGAAAGCTTTTTAGTAGGAAAAAGTCAAAAAAGCCAAATGTTTCAAAGACTCACAAAAACTAGATATTAAACAATAACAGATATCAAACAATAACTGACAATAAAAACTTATTAACCAGATCTTAGAAATAGGTGGTTAGCTGTGATTAGCCCTGAATGATTTTCTCATCTATTGTTGGATAAGTTGTGTGTTTGTGCCTAGTAACAATGATGGCATTTGGGCATTGCTTCACTGAACACAACCCTTGATGATTTTTGTTTTCATTATAAAAAGCCTTGCTTGAGAACTGCAAAACACACTCAGATTCAAGCTGCCTCTATGTTTGTTTCTGTCTGTCTCCACCAAATCCTTACTCAGCTAGTCTTGGAGAACCTTCATCCCAGGGACCCTCATGCCCAGCTGGGGTGGTCCGTGGCAGCCTATCCTTCTGCCTCTATTGGCCAAACAGTGTTTTATTGTCAACCAATAAGAGAAACATATATACAGAAGGACATCCCCTATCATCTCTATGTTTGTTAATTTGGATGTTTTTCCTTTATTCTTTCAGTTGGTTTGGGTAAAGACTTGTTCATATTAATCCTTTCAAAGCACTAAGTTTTTGGTTTGTTGATATTTTGTGGCTTTTAACTTTCTATTTAATTGTATCCCCAATTTTTTTCAAGACAGGGTTTCTCTGTATTGTTTTGGAGGTTGGTCTGGGGCTCGCTCTGTAGACCAGGCTGGCCTTGAACTCACAGAGATCTCTCTGCCTCTGCCTTCCGAGTGCTGGGATTAAAGGCGTGCGCCACCAGCGCCTGGCTGTCTCCCCAATTTTAATGATCTCTTCCCTTCTAATTTTTTGGCTGTTGCTTATTCTTGTTTTTCTAGGGCCTTCAGGTACATCATTGAATTATCTGAGATTTTTCAGACTCTGATGTAGGCACATAGTGCTATAAAGATTCCTCTTATGACTGCCTGTCATTCATTGTGCTTCCACAGATTTGGATGTCATATTTTCATTCAATTCTCAGAATTAAAAAAGATTGATTTGTTCTCATACAATTTTATCTTAATAGTGTGTTGTTTAGTATCTATGAATTTGTGTGCTTTCTGTATTTTCTTTAATGCATGGAGGTCTGATAGAATGCAGGATGTTATTTCAGTTACCTATATGGTTTGAGACTTGCTGTGTGTCTGAATATTTGGTCTGTTTTGGAGAAAGTCCCATGGGCTGCTGAGAAGAATATGTATTCTTTAATGCCTGGTGGAATGTTCTGTTAGGTCCAGTTGATTTATGATGCCATTTAACTTTCATTCTTTTTAGTGATTGTGAATTTGGATATTATTCACAAGGAAATATAACACCAATAATTAATCTAAAATTTTCCTTAGAAATTCTCTGTAGTATCGGTGCAATATCACAGGGAACACATATTCAGATGTCAGCCCAGTAGTAAAGAGGATTAGCATAGGAAGGGATTGTCTCCAGCAGAAAAACAGGCCATTTAAACATTTGACTAGATGTCACTTAAAACTGCACAAAATCAGGATATATTCTTTCATTAGAGGTGAACAGCATTGTTTAATTTTGTGAAAGATGGAAAGATAATCTAATCATATTACCTAGGATGAACATTCTGGAGCTTTAGCCCAAGTAGAGAACCCTATTTGGGGGCCATGATGATTGAGGGTCTCAGGGTTCTGGATCTGGCTCAGGTGATGGCGTAGGTGGGATTCATACAGGTTTCCAGGGAAGGGATTGAGTGAACTCAGTGAGATGTTTGTGGCCTCTCTGCAGGCACTTCCTGTGTTACTGGGTAAGCCCATATGACACCTGGTGTCACACACTGCAAGTTCTAATCTGTCCCCTGCTCTAGTCAGAGAAGAAGGTAGACTGTGGACAGTGTTGCTGCCCTGTCACCCAGGCTGAGGTAAGAGGCTCTCGGAGCTCAGCCTCTCCTCAGCCTGCATCAAGGTGAGTAGGGGCTCCTGGGGTAGGTGTTCTCTACGCCTGTCCTGGAAATACAGGTCGAGATTGTTCCACCTCTGAACTGGGGGCTGAAACTGTGACATGTGAAAGTTCTTGGCTCCCTGGTGTCTTTGTAGAACACCTGCACAGTGACACAAACGTCAAGTGGAGCAAAGTAAGGAAAAGACAACACCCACAGACCTGGACGGGTACTCAAGGGCTGGGTCATCCTGGAAACCCCGAGACTTCTGTTGTCTCTGCAGTGATGGAATGATAACTGCAGAGTGATAACACCAGGTGAGGATGACACCTCATGGTGACCATGCCTTCCCCACCTGCCCTCCCTCCCACAGACTCACTGAGGCAGAAGGAATGCTGACTGTCCCCATCCATCACTGCAAGACAGACAGCACCACCCTGAAAGGCGGTAGCATGAACTAGGAAGTGGCTCCTATCTGGGAAGGAGCCATTAGCAGCAGAGGATGAGCTTCAGGAGGAAGAAGGTTTTCTTTGCAGGAAAACAAAACAACCTTTATTACCGTGAAGGCACGGGCAAACAAGGGCTGGGTGATGAGATGGCTTTTGGAAGATTTACTAGTGGGCAAAGGCAAAGGTGTCCCGAGGCACCTGCTCCTTGGCTTGTGCTGGTAAGGTCGATCTTTAGTCACAGGCGCCCAGGGCAGTAATCCCCGACTGCTGCTTGTCATCAGTTACCCTGTACCTGACCGGATGCTTGTGCTCCTTGAGGCTGTTGAGGTGGCCGTAGTGCGTTCCTTTCTTTGTACTTTGATGCAGGTCACAGGCTTTCTGTTCAATGCCTGCCTGTTGTTTGTTTCCTGTTTCTCTGTGTAAGAATGGGTGCTTGTGCTCCTTGGGGCTGCTGTGTGGACAGTAGCCCATCCCACTCTTCACTTTAATTTGATCTGGGTCACAGGCTGTTCTGGTAGCTGAGCCCGACTGCTGCTTGTCTCCAGTTCTCCTGTACAGGAATGGGTGGCTGCTCCGCTTGCGGGTGGGGACTTGGTCGAAGCCCATTCCTCTCTTCACTCTGTTCCGATGTTGATCACAGGCTGTCTGGACATCGACACTCAACTGCTGTTCGTCTCCAATTCCCCTGCCTGTGGACGGGTGGTTGTGCCCTTTGGGACTGTAGTGGGGATCAGAGCTTATTCTCCTTTCTGGTCGGTTCTTCTTTGCGTCGTAGAGACCCTCGGAAGAGTGGTGAGAGCCACCTATCTGGGATGCCAGTGGCTCCACTTTGCACCAGTGGGCCTTTGGTGGGTCCTCTACATTCAGGCCCAGCCTGTGTGCCAGGATCTGTGCCACAGCATCCGTGAGAGATTGTGCTTCGGTCGCCATGTTGTAGATGAGCTTCTCTTTAGTGACTGCCTCCTGAGTCTGTAGAGTAGAGGGTGGGGGGCTTCCATTCTTGAGAGAATCCCCCTGCTCCTTGTCTTTGGTGCTGGAGTTGAGATACTGTAGGATATTCCTTACTATTTTATTCAGAAAGATTTCTACAGAAGCCTGTTCATTTGCAGGTACATCAAGGGAGGGCTGACTCTCAGTGACGACTATATCCTTGAGTTGGGTGGAGCTGTTGAGACCCCAGGCTTGGGAAAGCTCCATTCTCCCAAGCTTTTCTCCCTGACTTTTGGTTCTGGACCTCATAAAATCCTTCCTCTCTTCACTAGGAGGAAATATTGCTGGAATCTTATCCTTGGGGACCGTGAGCTCCTGGCTCTCCTGGCTATGACCTCTCCTCATGTACACATCACCTAGGCCCTGGGAAGTCCTGGGATGTTTGGATCTACCCTGGAAGTGGGACAGAGAGTTCTGTAAAGGCAGGCTGACTGTGGTGGGACACACAGCACTTTGACGGTCTGTGGTGGGACACACAGCACTTTGACGGTCTGGAAGGAGCCCAGCATGACATGACTGTTGCTGTTTGTTTGATTTGAAGTCAACGTCACTAAGCATCTGTGATTTTAGAGCTGGGCCTCTTGAGTGCTGTGGATATGCTTGGAATTGTCCTGGATTTCTGTTGGCCTTTACAGATTCTATGTCTCTGAGATTGATATTGATGTTTTGGCCATTGGGAATCTTGCTGTACCCAGGGGTCACTTTCCATGGAGAAGGTGTCTCTTTTTTAACCGCCACTATTCTGTTCCTCTGTTCTGAAGATGGAGTCCTTACTTCAGGGTCAACCATTGTCCCACTCCAACAGGGATGTCTTGAGGCCACATTCTCAAACCTCTTCCCTGGTTCAGACCTGCTAATTCTTGGGCTGGTCCTTGGTTGCAGGCTGCCTCTTCCAGTCCCTCGGATGGTCTTGTTATGCTGGGTTCTTGCCTGGAGGCAATAAGCATTGGCACGAGTGTTCAGGTAGCCCTGCCATGCATCTGGATGGGCCTTGGAGGGCCCATGGCTGGCAGCTGGTGGAGTGACTCTTTGCATCTCCTGAACCTCTGAAGGTGAGTGTGCAAACACAGGAGTCTGCAGCTTGGAAGTTGATAAAGTGTGTACTCTTGTTCCTCCTGGATCTTGGTGATGCAAGTTTTCCAGGATCACGGCAGCCTTGGGACAGTACTCTGACTGAGAAACACAGGTGGGTGAGGAAGGATACAAGATCTGGGTAAGGGATGAGGCTGGAACCCCTGGTGCGGTAAGATCTCTTGACTCGATAGTGTGTAGATATGGTCTCCTTCTGTGTTTCACAGGAAGCTGTGTGATGTTTGATTCCAGCTTCCTTTGGATTTTAGGGTCAAGGAAGGAAAGGTCATGGGTGGTGTTCACATAGGACCGCTGATCTGTCCTCAGTGCAGGGTTTCTGGGTTCCAGGCCCTTCCCAGGGCTGCTGCTTGAAGTGCAAGTCAAGTTTTTGGCTCTAAAACTGGGGCCCTCCTTGGTGGGGGTGTGTATGTTATGTTTTTCTGGGCCCTTCTTTAAGGGCATCCTGGAGGAATCAAAGATGGAGGGCTGGGCACACTGGGAGAGGTCAGGCTTGTCCTTGGGCTGGAAAGGACCGTTTGCTGGGGAATGTCCCTGCATCTGGGTCAGCTCCTGGGCTGGGAGGAGCCTGGATGGGGAACCTGGTTGTTCTCTCACCTTAGTCCCCCTGCATTTGCTTTGTGACTCCTCATGGTGCTGGAGGACCTGACGACGCTCAGAAAGGACGGAGGCTGAGCTGATAGCTTCAGTGAGCAGGGTGTCCCCGGGGAAGTTGTGAGAGGGCTGGCTAATGTCTTCTTGACGTGTTTGGACATTAGAACCTATGGTGTCTTTCCTCTCCAGATCCTGCTGCCAGGGCTGGTTTTTAGTCCGGAGAGACACCTGCATCCTTGTCTCACTGGTAGACCCTGCTTTTACATGGGCTCTACCTTTGGACAAAGAAAGTGCTTGGCTTGGTGTAGATCTTGGGAGGTTGTCCAGTGTCTGAGGCTCTGTCACATCTGCCAAGCTTGGTGTCACAAGTTGGTGGGGCAATGGCTGGGCCTGAGACATCTGTGAAGGTCCTTGAGCCATGGGTAGAGCTGGGAAAGGGCCATATGTATTAGAGAAGGATGAAGTTTTAGGTCCTTCAAATGAAGGCCTCTTGGAGACCCAGGCAGAAGCCACCACTGACTCAGAGAGCATGGAGGAGGACATGCCCCCGAAAATCCGGCTAAATTTCTGCTGCATAAGATCCTCCAAGAACTTGAGAGAAGACAGCAGCTGAGAGAGGGGAAGCTGATCTGGTTTCTCATTAGGGTTCCAAAAGGCATGTGGTGTAGAGTCCAGTAAAGTATGCTTGCTGGGGCTGCAGAAGACAGGAGGCAAAACCATCAGCCCCAAGCAGAGGATCAAGAGGCCCATCAATCTGTGTAAATATGGTACGTGTCCCATGGTCCCTCCACGGCCTCCACCTCCATATTCTGTACCCCAATCCCACCCTGTGCAGAATCTCCAGCACAAAGATCCCCTGAGCCTGACCTCACACCCTGGTATGAATAATTCTACAAGACAGAGATTTCTTACATTTTCACAGGTTGTGATGCATTCTGGGTATCTTCCGCATTCTCTCTGCCATCTCTACAGCCTGGAAACAGTTATGCATGGTGAGCACGAGGACCGAGATCTCACAGGAGAGTGAGGCACCTGTCTTAAAGTCCACCCGTCCTAGAGCTCTAATACCCAAACACCAGAGCTCAAGCATACGGAACCCTGAAGATGAGCACGTGGCGTGGAGGCACCATATCTCTTCATTTACGCTTTCCTTGCTCCTCTCTCAACCCCTGTCATCCTCATCCAACACTGTGAGGACACAGGATCAGTCTTCTGAGAGAGGAGTGGGCCTGAGGGAATTGCAGCTGCCTGTTCAGGTGGACCCCCATGCATGGTCACATGCCTTGAGCCACACCCCATGGGCAGCCCCTACCCCAGGCCAAGCACAGCTTCAGTCTGTCCCAGAACCCGGGATTTCCCTGATTCTCATTTCCCCCAGCAGCCTCCTCTTCCTTGTTGGTGCTCTGCATCCTGTATCCCCACAGGTGTGGCTGTCATGGCTCCCATCACTGAGGGGTGGGGCAGATGGATCTGCTCTCCAGAGGAAAGCAGAGGCCTACCTTTTGCAGAAGCAATTTTCTTCCTGGTCCTGCTCCGTCCCCTCCTCGTCACCTGAGATTGAGGAAGGACAAACGTGAGCGGGGCCCCTTCTTCCTCTCTCTAGTGGACAAGCTGCCTGCCCTCTGTGCTCGAGGTTAACACGGAATCCACATTTCCCAGACTTTCCCTCTTCCATCCTTGACTCAGTTGTTCTATGCATAGATGCATTTCCTCTTGGAAAACACAAGCAGGGCTGTCTATGCCACACTCACACGGATGTCCTCAGTCAGTGTTCCTCAGACGGGATCCCACCCAAGGCTGAGCTCTGCTGCTGCCGCCTCTGGCTGTCAGGTAAGATCTGCTTCCTCAGACCGGAGGTGACTCGAGTCCTGATCTGAGGCCTTTGGTTTCATCAACCCCCCCACACACACACACACCAGCTCAGCAGAAACAAAAGCGTGTGGCCGAGCAGAGGACAGATGACTTCTTTCTCAGAGCCTGTCCTGTCCCAGAGGTCCCCACCATCTCAGGAATGCTGTTGTCCACAGAACCACCATCTTCCTTAGTGGCGCTCTGCCACACCACACAGGGGGTCTGAGAGCTTCATGCACACACCTCAAGGCCACTCTCCTGTCTGCCCTGCTTTCCAGCCCCTGCTGATGAGATGCTGTTCTTTCTGGAGGTTTCCTCTCACCTGTCTCTCTGCTTGCCTAGCAAATGGGAAGTAACAGCAGGGAACAGCAGACTGAACACACCCCATTGTGTTCCAGCCAAGGCTTTCCTCACCTTCGGGGTGTCCTCTCCACTCCCAGGTGGTGGTGATGTGGGGTATGTCTTCAGGAAGGGGATTAGTAGGAGGAAGAGCCACACTCCACAGATGACACTGAAGATCATGTCCATGGATATGAAATTGGAGCTGGGGCTCATCCATGACTCACTATCGCCTGTCAGCTGGAAGAGAGCAGTCTCCATCTTCTGATTTGCCCACACCTCTCAAGCCACTGAGCCCTGGGAGCACAGCCTGAGGCTGTCAGGAGGGCTGAGGCCCACATCACACAGCTGAGGCCTCCTCATCACAAAGGGCTCCTGGCAGGAGGGAGGCAGCCACAGCCCCTCCTCAGCCTCCAGCCCTGGAGAGGCTGCTGCCTCCTGGGTTTCCCTGCTCCCTCCTTCCAAGTCCTCCTGCTGAAGCAGCCAGGGACACAGCTTCCTCCATGCCTTGTCCTTCCCCTGAGCCCCAGAATTTCTCTGTCTCCTAGAAGGTGTCTGCTTCAGCTCATCAGGTTCTTAGTTTCTGACAGACTGGGCTTCTCTGTGGAACTCGAGTGTGACTCAGGGATTGTTGCTCTCAGTGTGTCTTCTCTCTGCAGATCCCAGTCTGTTCATTATGAGGTCATGCCTTGCCTTAACTCAGAAAGTAAAATACCATTTGTTTCACACTTATTTAGGTGTGTCAATTTTCAATAAAATCTAAAGTAATAATTAACTTCTAGAGTGCTAAGGAAAAATGAAATTCAAAACTTTGTCATAAGAATGCAAGTGGTTAATAATGAATTAAGCCTTCTATGATAATTTGAGTGCTTAGTAGCTTTTGTTCCTTTTTTTTGTTTGTTTGTTTTCAAGACAGGGTTTCTCTGTGTAGCCCTGGCTGTCCTGGAACTTGCCCTGTAGACCAGATTGGCCTTAAACTCAGAGATTTACCTGCTTTTGTGTTCCCCGTGCCGGGATAAAAGGTGTGCACCAGCACTGTCAGACTTGCTTCTTGCTTTACATGTTAACATTTTAAAGCAGTAAACTAACAGAATTCATTTGGCTATATATTCTTGTACCTAATTGTCTTGCTTCTTTGAGCAGTGCCACAGTCAGTGTAGATGTGTGGTATCTCCTTGACGGGATGTAGACAGCATCCTTTGAGCATGCTCAGGAATGGTAGTCCTGGGTTTTTCATGCTCAGGAATGGTAGTCCTGGGTTTTTCATGCTCAGGAATGGTAGTCCTGGGTTTTTAGGATCCTCTATACCGATTCCCACAATGTTGCTCCAGTTTACACGCCCAATAGCAGTTGCTGAGGGGCCCTCCCCAAATCCCTTCCCAGAACTTCTCATTTGTTGTCTGATCTCAGCCACTGTGGTTTAGGTGAGATAGAAGCTCAAAGTGGCTTAACTTGAACTTGCCTAAAATTAAGGATGTTGGAAACTTTGTAAAATATTTATTGACCTCTGTGTCTTTCTTCTTGAAAACTGTTTAGTTCACCAGTCCATTTATTGATTTTTTTTTGTTGATGTTTAGTAATTATAACTCTTTGCACATCCTACATGTTAAGGCCCCGCACTGGTGATGAGCTGTCATTCCCCAGGCTCCTCATGCTATCTTTTGCTGCACAGAAGCTTTTTAATTTCATGTAATCTCATTTGTCATTTTATGGGGCTCTTTCCTGTGCTGTTGGAGTTCTTGTCAGAGAGTTCTTACAATGATATTGAAAAAAGTAAATAAAAGGAAAGGAAAGAACATGACTACTCCTAGGTATGGTGTAGTAGAAAGTTTATTATAGATATATAGGGGAGCTATTGCAGTCTAGGGAGAGCCAGTTCCTAGACCGCCCACAGTTTCAATGCACTAAGACTTTTCTGTCCGAGGGTTTGGAGGGAAAAGACACTGACACACTCTATTGATGGATACCCATCTTTATTCTCTAATGTTCTCTTCCTTTGTTTTTCACAGCTATATATGCCCAACAAAATCTTTCAAGTAATACAGAAGCTACATTTGAAGGTCATGTTTCATTTTTTTTCCTTTTTTATTTAAATTAGAAACAAGCTTGTTTTACATGTCAATCCCAATTCCCTCTCCATCCCCTCCTCCCCTGGCCCCCACCAATGCCCTATTCCATCCCCTTTCTGCTCCCCAAAGAGGGTGAGGCCTTCCATGGAGATCGTCAAAGTCTCTCATATATCATTTGGAGCAGGGCCTAGGCCCTCCCCCATGTGTCTAGGCTAAGAGAGTATTCCTCTATGTGGAATGGGCTCCCAAAGTCCATTCACACACTAGGGATAAATACTGATCCACTGCCAGAGGCCCCATAGATTGCCCAGGCCTCCTAACTGAGACCCACATTTAGGGGATCTGCATCAGTCCTATGCTAGTTTCTCAGCTATCAGTCTGGGGTCCATGAGCTCCCCCTTGTTCAGGTCAGCTGTTTCTGTGTGTTTCTCCAGCATGGTCTTGACCCCTTTGCTCATTACTCCTCCTCCTCTGCAACTGGATTCCAGGAGTTCAGCTCATTGTTTAGCTGTGGGTGTCTGCTTCTGCTTCCACCAGCTACTGGATGAATGCTCTAGGAAGGTAGTCATCAATCTCATTTTCAGGGAAGGGCATTTAAGGTAGCCTCTCCACTATTGCTTAGATTCTTAGTTTGGGTCATCCTTGTAGATCTCTGGACATTTCCCTAGTGCCTATAATGGCTCCCTCTATTATGGTATCTCTTTTCTTGCTCTCCTCTATTCTTCCCCTGACTCAATCTTCCTTATCCCTTCTGTCCTCCTCCCCCACCTCTTCTTCTCCCCTTCTCTTTCTCCTATCTCCCTCTCTCCTCCTCCCATGCTCTCAATTTGCTCAGGAGATCTTGTCCTTTTCGCCTTCTCTGGGGGACCATATACATCTGTCTTAGGGTCCTTCTTGTTTCCTAGCTTCTCTGGCGGTGTGGATTGTAGGCTGGTACTCCTTTGCTCTATGTCTAAAATTCATATATGAATGAGTACATACCATGTTTGTCTTTTTGTGACTGGGTTACCTCACTCAGGAAGGTTTCTTGTAGTTCCATCCATTTACCTGCGAATTTCAAGATTTCATTGCTTTTTACTGCTTAGTAGTACTCCATTGTGTAAATGTACCTCATTTTTCTTATCCATTTTTCAGTTGAGGGGCATCTAGGTTGCTTCCAGGTTCTGGTTATTACAAATAATGCTGCTATAAACATAATGGAACAGACGTCCTTGTTGTATGAATGTGCATCCTTTGGGTATATGCCTAAGAGTGGAATTGCTGGATCTTGTGGTAGACTGATTCCCATCTTCTCGAGACACTGCCATACTGATTTCCAAAGTCATAGTACAAGTTTGGACTCCTACCAGCATAAACTGTCATTGGTGTTATTGATTTTAGCCGATCTGACAGGAGCAAGATAGTATCTCAGAGTTGTTTTTATTTGCATTTCCTTGTTGGCTAAGGATGTTGAGCACTTTCTTTTTTTTAATTTATTATTATTTTTTTTATTTTCCATTTTAAATTTAGATAAGAAACAAGGTTGCTTCACAAGTCAGTTCGAGGTCCCTCTCCCTTTCCCTCCCCTCCTCCCGTGTCCTCCCCCATCCCCCCCCCCGTTATCCCCTCATTCCTCCAGGGAGGGTGAGGCCCTCCATGGGGGTGTCCATAGTCTGTCATTTCATATAGGGCAGGGCCTAGACCCTTCCCCAAGAGTTCAGGGTGAGAGTGCACCTCACATTGTTCTATGGGAGTCCAGAGTCCGTGTGTATACTTGGGATGGGTACTGATCTGCTGTCCAAGGCTCAATAGATTACCTAGGCCTCCTCACTGACACCCAGATTCAGGGTGTCTTGATCAGTCCCATGCTGGATTCCCAGGCTGATGCCTGGGATTCAAGAGTTAACCTTTGTCTGGTCAGCTGTTTCTGGGGTTAAACCAGCCCAGTCTTAATCCCTTTGATCATCAGTCCTCCCTCTCTGATACTGGCTTTCTTGAGTTCAGCTCAGTACTTAACCAGCCACTAAATGAAGTTTCTGTTTCCCAGACTCTCTGGCCATAGGATTGTAGGCTGGCACTCCCCAGATCTATGTCTAAAATCCATATATGAGAGAGTACATGCCATGTTTCTCTTTTTGTGGCTGGGTTACCTCACTCAGGATGGTTTCTTCTAGTGTCATCCATTTGCCTGCGAATCTCATGATTCCATTATTTTTTTCTGCTGAATAGTACTCCATTGTGTAGATGTACCACATTTTCTCTATCCACTCTTCGGGTGAGGGACATCTAGGTTCCTTCCAAGTTCTGGCTATTACAAATAAAGCTGCTATGAACATAGTGGAACAGACATCTTTGTTATATGAATGGGCATCTTTTGGATATATGCCTAAGAGTGGAGTTGCTGGGTCTTGTGGTAGGTTTATTCCCATTTTTCTGAGGAATCTCCATACTGATTTCCAAAGTGGCTGAACCAGTTGGCACTCCCACCAGCAATGGAGGAGTGTCCCCCTTTCACCACATCCTCTCCAGCATAAATTGTCATTGGTGTTTTTGATTTTAGCCATTCTGACAGGAGTGAGATGGTATCTCAGAGTTGCTTTGATTTGCATTTCCCGGATGGCTAAGGATGTTGAGCACTTTCTCAAGTGCCTCTCAGCCATTTTAGACTCCTCTATTGAAAACTCTCTATTTAGTTCTGCAGCCCACTTTTTAATTGGGTCCTTTGCTGTTTTGGAGACTTGCTTCTTGAGTTCTTTGTAAATTTTGGAGATCAACCCTCTGTCAGATGTGGGATTAGTGAATATTTTTTCCCATTCTGTGGGCTGCCTTTTTGTCTTGCTGACTGTGTCCTTTGCCTTACAGAAGCTTCTCAGTTTCAGTAGGTCCCATTTATTAATTGTCGATCTCACTGTCTGTGCTACTGGTGTTATGTTCAGGAAGCTGTCTCCTGTACCAATTCGTTCAAGGGTACCACCCACTTTCTCTTCTAAGAGGTTCAGTGTGGCTGGATTTATGTTGAGGTCTTTGATCCATTTGGACTTAAGTTTTGTGCATGGCGATAAACATGGATCGATCCGCATTCTTCTACATGCCAGTCTCCAATTATGCCAGCACCATTTGTTGAAGATGCTTTCTTTATTCCATTGTATATTTTTAGCTTCTTTGTCAAAGATCAGATGTTCGTACGTGTGTGGGTTAATACCCGGATTTTCAATTCGATTCCATTGGTCTGCCTGTCTATTTTTGTGTTGAGCACTTTCTT